CAACTCAAATGACAGATGTGACAAAAATTTTGAAAACAAAATAGAGATGAAAATATGAAATAACAAAGGAAATTGGAAAATCTGAATTGATAAAGAGGTTTAAAAAGGTGGGTTGAGTTCTGGCTCTCCTTCCCCACAGTGCTTGAAAAATAATTTGATTAACAAAAAGCTCATCCTAAGATTCTCAGTTAACAGAACTGTATTGTTAATTTTAATCTCTTAAAAATTGTTTTATCCCAAAGTTGCCCACTTCCATATCTCTATGCCAAGTGGGATTAGGACTCTTGAGACTCAGGTCCAATATTACATGAGGACTCATTCATTTCTGAATTGAGATCCCTTAGATGATTTCTCATCTAAGTCCATGGTTCTAATGCAGAATCCAGAATTAGTTGTTTCTCAACAACTAAATCCTAACCAAACCTCTGACATTCGGCCAAAATGCAGATAATTTTAAACATAAAAAAAAACATTAAACAACTGAGATATAAAAATTAAAACCAGAAAATCAAATATTTAACAAGCACTGAGGTTTGGGTATCACCTAAACCCAACCTCTAAAAAGTTAGCCACTATCCATATGGATGAAGCTTACAAACAGTAACAGAGAACTACAGAATTCACAAAATAAAAATTCTAAAAACTAAATTACAGCACTGGCCTAACAACCGGCAATCTCAGTGCTGTAAAGACATACATCAAGTTCATCAAATGAACCAAAATCTCATTACAAAACAGAACTTAAAATAAAATAAAAATTGTTCAGAAAACAAAAACTAAGAAACGGTAAATCAGAATCAGGAAAGGGAAAAAGAGACTGTTTTGACTCACTCCTCTTTCCCTTTTTATAGGGTTCCTTTCCTTCTTTGCGCGATTTTCCTCTCCAGCTCAGCAGGTGTTACGCGCTTCTCGCGCGTTACACACCCGTGGTCCCCAACCGCTCCAAACTTGCATCAGATATTCCAAATGCAATTTCGCTCCGCACTCGTAACAGCATCCACATCACTATTCTGTTGGTGTATGGCTTCTAGAACAATGGCTAAAGCAAGCTGTATGGTCACAGATGGTTACAATAATCACACTTGGACTTTGATTTGAGTGGCTGGTGGTTTGTGTGGGTCTTTCAGAAAAATGTTTCACGGCTTAGAGGAAGAGAGATTAGGAAATATGATGAGGGTGGGTTTGGTGTGCGGCTGTGGTTAGGTAGCGTAGTGGGTTAGAGAGAGAGGAGATTAGGGTTTTCTTTCTGATCCCATCAGCTTCCCTTTTCTTTAACTTGGGCCTTCCACAAAAGATCCAGCCCAATTCCTCCTCTTATCTTCTTCTCTTCCTTTCCCTTTTTCTCTGGGCTTTAGTATTTTAGGTCTGGCTCATCACTTTCTTTTTGCTTTTCCTTTTTCTGATGAATGTTAACACAATGGGCCTGTAAAATAACAAGTTTAAGCCCATTAGAATTTAAGCCCAACATAAATTTTTGGGGTATTTTAATCACAAACATCATTCATTTCTCACCAATTACACTCTAAACCATATGTTCTAAGTCTCATTAAAGAGACTTATCACACCCCCAAACTTACATTGTTACTTGTCCTCAAGTAACAGAAAAAATTAGAACATGGATTTAGTAAATTAACAATTCTTCTCAACCAGGAAACTAATTTCAGCACAATTCAGAAATACTCAAACCAATCAGCGCTTCAAATTTTCACAAAGAACATGGAACAGATGGATGTATTTAATCAGCAATCAGTCAATCACAAACTAGGCAGCTTAGTGATCCTTTATAAAATTACTCAGCAGGCAGTGTGCAAAATTCAAATGCATGAATGTCTCAATGACTGTAAAATAATGACAAAGGAGATCTTGAATTTTTTATTTCTTAACACAACATGCAGAATTTTTTAACAATGCAACAGAGATGGCAACTTTTCAATTCCTCACTCAATAAAACAAATATTCACTCCATGCTCAAGGATTCTGTTTCTCTCAATCCAACACTGGAAAAAGATGTAACATAGGCTTGCTAAGATGCTCTTGTCTCTAAAGTGATACACAGACCTAAGCTCAATCAAAGGGACTTGAATAGGTTGTAACTTGGCTAAGGTGAAGGTGGAAAATTTGTGGGGGGTTGGCTAACTTAGCTATGATGGAAAGGAAACACAATTATGAAGCATAATCAACTAATTCAGTGGCTGCTACTTTGACTGCTATTTTTCTCTTTTTGAAAATCTCTTCTTCTTTTTTATTTTTTTATTTTTATTTATGAAATCAAACTTTTCATTTTATTAGCAGTCTCTTACTTTCTATTCCTTCTCTTTTATTTTTTTCTTTTTTTTTATTTTTTTTATTTTTTTTTAACAACCAACAAAATAAAAATAACAAAAAATCTTGCTTCTTTTTCTGTTTCCATCATAACTAAGAGGTGTGGTAGATTGTGGGATAAGATAAAATGTGGGTATGTGAAAAGAAAAGGTCAAAGGCTCAAAATGGGTTTTCAATGGATGATGATCTATGGATGGCTTTTTGGTTTGAAAATGGTTAAACAAAACAACAAATTGCCCTCATCATTTTAAAATTAAGCAAGTGCAACAATTCATCAACTGAGCATCAAAGCAAGTTCTGTCTCACTAACCCAGTGGAGACCTCTCATAAAAAATGTTGACTGTGTAGGCTCAATGACTCACTGTGTTGGGTCTAGTCACCATCTCTAGTGTCTATTGTTAAAACACTCAAGCTGCATTAATCAACTAAATTTCTCAACCTCTCACTGCCTTTTACCCATCAATCATTTAAAACACTCATATCACTCTTCATCCACACACCTGCCCTGAGTTCTTTCCTTTATTCAAATTCTCAGCTGCTTAGTTGTGATACTGATCACTCATTGCTAAACATCACACTCCTCAAATCCATTCACATATCCAAAATTTCCTTTCACCAAAACAGCAAATATATACAAAACAGTTCAAAACAGCACAAAATCTCCTCCTAACTCAAAACAACCAAACCAACAGAAAACTTCATACAACTCTAAAAACAACAAATCCAATCAAAACAGCAACTGAAACATAGGAAATTAATTCAAACTAAAAAAAATTTCTAAAGAGCAAACATGGTTTGTGGTGCATCAACAAAATACTCTCCCCCAAACTTAATTTCAACAGTGTCCTCACTGTTGTGCCTCAAACAAGTTACACAAATGAAAATTTTACAAGTAGGATCAGTGTAACCTGAGGCCAGAAGAAGTTCTGGCCTATTTCTCCTGATAATCTGAGTCCCCTGACTCAGATTTATCCACATCTTCAGATTCTGATTCAGAAGATTGCATTTCTTCTTCTTCATTGTCACTCACTTCCTCTATGGCAGCTTTTGTTCTTGGCCTTCCCCTCTTCCTTGAGCTAAATGGGTGGCCATGTTCCTTTGTAGGTAGAGGAGTTGTCTCTTGCCTTGTAGGTTGGGGAGAAGGAGGATTGCCAGCAGCTTTTGCCATGACTTCTTTTACCTGTGGATCAACAAATACTGAAGAAGGTGGCCATGTTAAATCATCAGGAAATGAAGGTAAACCAGGAAAATTTGCAAAGGTATTTTTCAAAAAATCATTCAAGACTCTGTCCCTCCCTACAATGTAATCATGAAATCTGGCTCTATTATACATAAAAGTGTAAAATTGATCATATGTTTTCTCAAACAGCAAGTCCATTTTTTTGTTATGATCTTGCATTTGCATGAGCACTTTATGTATGTGAACCAGATTATTATGTAACCCGCCTGGGAAAGGCTGGTCTTCAGTGGGAGGGACCATAGTCTCCAAGTGATTTGCAATATTTTCAGCCCTCTGTTGCTGAGAACTTGCAACATCAGGGACAAATTTCCCTTTCTTTTCTGGGGGAGAATATTGAGTCTTCTCCTCTTCAACTACCCCCTTCAACTTTTCTTTTCCTTCTATTTCCAACTTTTCTTTCTCAACAGAGGGTGCAGCAATGCCCTTTTTTAATTTAGTAATGATTCGCAGAGTTATAGCCTCACTAACTTTAAAGAACACATCAGCTTGGTTTGCTGTGACACCCTTTTTCTTGCATAATTGTGATATGAAGCTAGGGAACCGTAGCTTGCCTTTCCTACCCCCAGCACAAGCTCCAATTCCTCTAAAAACTAATTTGGCAGCATCTACTGGTTTCCCAACCAATAAACACCACAACAACACAGCTCTATCCTTAGTCACTAAATTTACATGAGTGGTAGGGAGCAATCTGGCTCTAATGAAATGGTACCACGTTTGAGCTTTTTCATTTAGAAAGTGTTTTTGCAGAGTATAGTTCTTTTCCTTTATCTCCCATTCAGCCCCAGGGACTGCTATGACCTCTAATATTGCTGCCATGAAAGCAGGATCATGCTTCTTGACATGCTTGGCAAACTCATCTTTAGAGGCCTTAGGTAGGGAAAAGAATTCCCTAATAACCTTGGGTTCAAAGGAAACTTTAATGCCCCTGACACTAACCTCAGTTTGACTGTCATTCAAAATTTCTGCATAAAATTCTCTTACCACATTGACATTAGCCGCATCCTTAGGATGCAGGTAAAACTGTTCCCAATGTTGAGTTTTTACTACTTCATGCACATATTCAGGATAAGAGGCATTTTCCTCAAATCCCTTGTCAGGGGTAGGGTCCCTAGCAAGCATAGTCTTTTCAAACCTTTCTATTGCTTTTTCACATATGAAGGAGGAGAGGGAAAAACTCTCAGGATCAGGTGTGTGAGGTGTAAGCTTTGGACTGTGAGGTCCTCCACTACGCAAGATATGTTTTCTAACCATGATGCCTAAAAAAAAATATTAAAACAGCAAATTGAAATTACCAAAAACAGAAAAATAGCAAAAATAAAACTGAGTTGATACTCAGACCACTCCCCCAAACTTTATACTGAATTTACAAAACACAACAGTAACAAAGCTTAATTTCTGATTAGAGTCTCAAGCTAGACTCTTCACTGTTCGTTTGTGTTTAAATGGTGGGAGGGTCAGCAAGAGATATTGAGATTTGAGCTTTCTCAATTCCCTCCCCCAAATAATTTTTAAGCCTTTGACCATTGACAGTGAACTTGGTCCCATCTTTCTCATTTAAAATGTCCACTGCACCATGTAAATGGACTTTTGTTACCTTAAATGGACCAGACCACCTAGACTTTAACTTTCCCGGGAAGAATTTTAGCCTAGAATTAAAGAGCAGGACCTGTTGTCCCTCAAAAAACTGCCTATCTGAAATTTGCTTATCATGCCATCTCTTCATTTGTTCTTTATACAGCTTGGCATTTTCATAAGCATTTAATCTAAATTCATCCATTTCATTCAGTTGGAGAATTCTCTTTTCTCCTGAGGCAGTGGCATCAACATTCAATTGAGTAGTAGCCCAGTATCTAAGGGTAAATGACAATTTTTACCAAAAATCAATTTGTAAGGTGAGCAACCTAAAGGTGTTCTATAGGCTGTCCTATAAG